ATTATTATATTCTCTGTGTGTTTTCTTTCTATATCGCACCTTCAGCCTGATAATTAAAATACTATTCTATATACTCCATGATTCGGATTCTTTCAAGACGTATATATAGTGAATATTTAGTATTTTCGATTTTTTTTTTTCGGTTCGTAACTAGATCTGGGGAAGAACCTCGTTCTTCTTCCGTTCAACAAAGAAGTACACTTATGACATCACCAATCGTGACTGGAAAAGCCAATCCTATTAGACTCATATGATATTGATTCATTTTTAACTCCTCTACATAATACATTCCCTCTTAAACATATTTTTAGAGCTGAAGATAAAAGTTAATGAGATGTGTAAAAATATTCTGCGCCTGTTATCTTCTGACCCCTTGACTCTCTGGTCATTAGGTAACGGAACCTTCTTTTTTCGAAACCTTTCTTTTTCAGAAAACTCATAACTTACTTATGTCGCGTAGGTGTTTCGATTATCAATAGTTGCGAAAGATTCCTGTGCCAAGTTTTCATTTCGGAATATGAAGTCATCAATGAATTAAAAAAATGAAGAAATCTTTGAGATTTATAATTATTACGTATAAAATGTGGTATCTAAAAGTATTCAACATTCATCTCTTTCACTAGTCTATTTCTGATGGATACCAAAACGTGAAGGGCAAATAATCAGTTAACTTGAGTTTTTCATTAAAAAATAGTGGAAATTTTTCTTCTCCCGAATGAAACTGACATTTCTGTAAGATTGGGCGATTCTTCAAAGTTATAAATATTGCTATTTTCTTTTTTTGTGAAATACATTTACTCTATAGAAAATATGAAAAAAAATAGTTTCTTTAATCAGGCTGGACATTTTCGAATAGTGGATAAATTAGCTTTTACAAAATTAAAACTACTTATCCTACATAATTCCTGTAGAAGGATACGGAAGTTGAATTGAAGATTTCGATTGTTTCAGAGTCTGCGAGTATCCAAATAGTCTGCGTAATTGAACAAAGAGAAAAAGACAGATTGTAGATTTCTGTATGCGTCTCGTATTTTGTTTTGCTATTTGTATTGTCGTTTCACTCTTGTATGAGGATTCCATGTGAGTCGTTTGTCTAGATGAAGTCCAAGGTAACGGATTTGTTCAACTGGGATAAGTGGGAAATTGTTGAAGGATACTGTAGGACAGGAGGCCATAGGTAAAGGTAATTTGATGAGATTTATTGGAATTTATATACAATTAAATATCAAATAGTACCAACAATAGCATTTATGAAAACCGTACATGTATGTATAATAATAACATTAATGGAGCCCGTATTTTATTAGGAACGTATCACAATACTTTCCTAGGTCCTAGGGAAAGGTTATCTATCTATGATAAAGATTTATTGTGGTTGACAATGTTCTATAATTTTCAAGTTAATAAAGTTTGCCTTGTTGTATAGTTTATAATGGTTAGTGTTATTTTGAACATGATTTTAGTTTGATTTTATTTTAATTTAGTTAATTCTATCGGCATTGAGTGAGGACAATGAAAGTTAGGTTTAGCCTTGTGGTTTCCACGAAATTTATAGTATGATCATAAGGTTATATTTTGTGCAATAAATATATTTCCTTATCACCTTACTTGTTTTTATTATTACAGCGTAAAAGTTGTCAATTGTAGACTGGTTACATCGCTGTAAGATGATTGATGACGTTGTAACAGCAATGAAACAGGGAGTGGGGGAAGAACATACTATCATTTGCCTAAGGCCTTTAGCTAAGAAGCAACGAAAAGGATTTTGGGGACAATTATGAAGGACCAGACAAGGAGCATGCAGAAGACTAGTAGGATTAACGAAGATTTAAGCGTGTATATGAATGCAACAGATACATGAGATATATTTTATGTGAATGCAAAATTACAAAAACAGCTATATGGTAAAATTCAACAATTATTAGATATCATGGAAAAAAAATTACTGCAAAATCGGCTACGATTCCTGATAACAAAGAAGGTCTTATGAAATCTTCAAATCAGAGACCTTTAAAACTCCATTGAATTCCAAAAACTTACTATTCTCATCCTCATACATTTTTTCAAAGCATTCGACCCAATTACCTCAACATCCTCTATTCTAAGTTGCAAAATCTTCCTCTATCTAACAGTTATTTATTTATTTATTTTCAACCCTCCTCTGCCTCAAGGCAATACGGGTATTTGCAGCAGTGGGATGCTTTGTATAATTCATCTTCGGGATCCCAAGGGACACCACTGTCTTCCGTTTTGATGTATAGTTTAAGTGGCTTTATACTTCCTCCGCGTCGTACGTATTTGCTAGCATCCTTTCGAGTCATCCAATCCCGCCGCCCTTCATACATCTCCGAGCTTCTTCAATTAAAATCCTGTGTCCTCTCCCGGAATAATCGTTCCCGGTGTTCAGAATTATATACAAGAGCCAACTGAACCGCCGCTTTCGACAAATAATTCATTATCCAATCCTCAATATTATGGAATTCTATACCTCCCTACATCCGTCGTTCCGATACCCTCCTCACAATTCCTGCATGGTTAAACACTTCCTATCCATTCAGTACCCATCAAATTGTAAATAAAATTCGAAAACGGTGTTAACAGATAAGTTGTTAATAGACGTATAAATTATTAGTTTTATTTCACTTTTCTTTTATGTTGTTCTTAGTTCGTAAAAGCTAAAAGGTAACCTGTACTTTTTGATTATTTGTTAGTTAGGTATCGTTTCTTTTTTTTTTTTTTTAAATGATTATTCTCTAAGACATCCTACATCTCCATCTCTGTATATTATTCCTAAGGGACCAGTCCCACAATAAATAAAGCACTATTATAATAGGTAGACTTTTTCTTCTTTTGGTTATCATAGCCTGTTCTCAGTGATATTAAAACCACCATTTTGGAGTAATGAAACGAATGTATAAACTATGCTTCCCTGCATTATAGTTTGGAAGCAAATACATTAAAAAAACAAATACGCTGTTTATTTGTTGAGCCTCGTTAGCATACAAATGCAAATAAACTATTATCAGTAGTAAACACCATAGAGAGATTTTTCTATTTCATTCAGATTTTCTTCATTTAAAAAGCTAAAGTCACTTTCTAGGTACACCTGGCGGAAAAATTTATCAATTATAACTCGATAGTTCAAGAGAAATTTAACCATTTAAAAGGGTGTATTAAATCTGTGATGATCGCCCTCTAGTGGTTGAAAACTGAGGTACCTAATTTCAAGTTCTAGGCTAAAGCTTTAGCCGTGATACTTTATCATGTAAAGCGGGCTTCACTCACGGTTTTTGTTGAATAGAAAGCGATAACTAAAAAAATGCCTAATTAAGGTAATTAAAAATTGCTTCACAATAAACTAACTAGATAAAATTTAATTCATATAAAAGTAGATTGTTTCATTGGAAAAAATATTAAAGTTGGGCTTTTTAGCACTAAAATAAACCAAGTTTTATTTTTTTAAATCATTAATTATTCGTGAATTGTTTTCATCCGCCAACTATACTACAGGTATACAACTTTTTCAGATCTCTATTATACGAATTCATTCCTATGTATAAATTACCAACTAAGTGTTATCTTAATAAGTGATCTTAATATTTTGGTTTCCATGAAAATAATCCAAGCAATGAATTATCTTTGTCTTGTTGCAAGAGGATTTTCATTTTCTTGATTATATATATAAAAAAACACCTGTTCCACTAACAATCCATGAAGGGTCTTGGCTTCAGTACAATGTGAAGAAGTACTGTTATAAGGCCAACGGTTGTGCAAGGAAGGAAGGGCCAATATTACGCTCAACCGCCAGGTTTTCTCCCTCAATTAATTATTTAACTAAGAGTGCCCACTTTATAGAGGCTGGGTTTACCACAGGAGGGTCCACTGGCACCAGGGTCGACCTACGGCTTTTTCATGAAAAATTACTAGTTATCAGCCGGATTCGAATCTGGGACCTTGACCTCTGAAAGTCAGCGCTTACCCACTGAACTAGCTGTTTCTTGATTATATAGTATTTCTGAAATACAATACATCAATCCTTGTAACTGTTGCTAATTGTAAAAAGAAGTTATGGAGTTTATCTATAATTTAGTTGTAATTTTAGATAATTACCGACTAAATCGTATAATTGAGAGTTGAGACTGGGTAAAAAAAAGTTTCCTAATCACTTTAGAAGATGAATATTTGAAAAATTATTAATTTTAAGATACATTTTTATAAATAAAAGTGTATTTATGTAATTATATTTATTATAATACATCTCAGGTCTTAAAAAACAAAATTAAAACATTGCAATAATTTATTGGAGTTATTTTTTCTGAAAACACGGGTACTTTTAGGAGATAGAATATTAAATCATTTATTTGTTTACACAGTTTGTGATGAATCTTATTTTTTCATAAAACCTCAACTTTATTAATATGGGAATTAAACCTTCTGAAACAAAGAAGTTTCTTTTAAAGTGAGTTATCTGTAGTATCGTTAAAGGAAAAAAAAATGTGAATAATTCATAATTTTTAAAAAACAGAGTATAACTTAGTTTAGCCACTCAAAAGTCCACTTTAAATGGTTTTAACCAATAAACTATCCTTTTTTAAAAGAAAATTTTATCTAGTTTATTGTGAGGCGATTGTCAAGTACTTTTATCACTTCCTTATCGACAAAAAACGTAACACTATAAAAAACAGAAAACTTAAATTTTTTAATATTTCGCGGAATATTGGTCCATTGTTTATGTAAACTTTTTTTGCAGTTTTTTGGGTCTACTTTCATCCCTTAAAGTATTTCCCTTACTTAAGGGACCCACTGTATTCAAACACCAAGGAATCTTCAAGTTTTGGTTAACCATTTTAGTTACCCATTTTCTTCGCATCTTAAATATTAAAATATTCATTGTAATACTGAATTGTATTTTGGTAGACTTAGATGAGAAGGGTAATATAACAATTACAAAATATTGTTTGTGATAGATTTTATTCAATTATTTACAACAGGTTCTTATAACTCATTTGGTTTAGCTACAGAGCTCTGAAATGTCCTTCTGGTCCTTTTGGAAGATGTGCGCCTTCGGCATGGAAACCAGTCTCATCGGCGTACCAGTTGGTGGTGATGGGGGTGCCATCAGGAGCGATGTAGGAATATGTCCCGGCTGCTGCCTGGCCAGGTTCTTCTGAACCAAGAGCTACTTGGTTACCAGATACTTGTACTGAGGTGCCGTCTTCTGACTGAAAACTGAAAAAAAAAAAACACGTAAAAATGTAGATTAAAAAGAAAATAAGATTTGTAATAAATTTAAACCATTTTACTATCCGTTATTATATTCAGTTTGTTTTTACCAGTTTTATTATATCTGGTGGCATTTGCTATATACTGAATGTACACACCACTAAATTGATAGCAATGAAAGATATTTTACTTGCAATTTTTCTCTTGTTAAATACGAGCAGTCTATTATGATAATAAAAATAACTTAATGTTTAAAGCGATGTTGGGCAGTAATATGTTTCTAACTCATAGTTTGGCATTATAGATTGGAAAAATAAGTTTAAGATAAAATTTACAGATACAATTTTTGAGATTGAATAAAATCCGATTAACTGTAGAAAGAGAAAATACATCTGTTAAAATTTATTTTTTTCTAAAATAATTGAGAGTATAAAGTTGTATAAAGATGCACACCAAACGACTCTGTAAACAACCCTTCCATATATATATATATATATATATATATATATATATATATATATATATAAAACTACTTATTCGAATTATATATATAAAGCCTGTAAGTACCGAAATTAAAATTATTCTTAGAACAAAATGAGTAGCATTTTTATAAACCAGATTTTTCATTTAATTTTTACTACATTCCTAAGACTGAGATGTAGTGTTATAAATAATATTTTTGGTCTGTAAATCTGAATAGTACACTGTTAGTTAAATCACTGATTAATTAATTATTTATTATGAAAATGACTTACGCCGCTCTCGCACACGAAGGGTAGTTTATTGTGAACATTACTGAATACATTCATTGTTTTTAAATTGGAAACCAAAATAAATTTTATTGGGCTATCCTCATTTTCTTACCTAACGCATTCATAATATTGTGAAGGAATAAAACATTCCATATTAAGTATAAAATAATAATTACGAGTTCACTTTATTTAGTTCGCATTCAGCGATTTTTTTTCATTCCTTTCATTAATTATGTTGTTCCAAAAAAAAAAAAGATAAATAAATAATTTGTTTATAGATTACATGAATTTGCAAATTTTCAGTATTCCTCTCATATTACAGAAACACCTGGCATGGTAAGAGATGTAACGAATAAAGATTATAGCTGAAGTAGGAGGAGCTGATGCTCACATTAACCTCTGACACTCCTTAATCCGAAGATGTATCGCCTCTTATCCGCGCCCAAAGGTCGTACATTGCATAATATCAAGCGCTAGATCTGCCATTTGAGTACAGATTTTTGTGTAAGTGGCAAAGCATAAGGGAAATTTATATGCGAAAGCTGGCAAAGAGGCAATTGCCAGGGCTCGGTTACATTAAAACTAGCATATGTAATTTACCCTAACTTACTATAGTAACATATCAAATTTGTTCACTACGGGCTTAAATGTATTAAGCTTTTTAAAGGGTATAAGGCGTGACATAAACTCTAAGAATTCATCGTCCTGGAAAATAATTTGTTTATTTTATCTTTAAAATCATTACGATAAAGTACATTTAGTACAGAATAACCGTCATTCTATATTTAGCATATTATTCTCTACTATAGGCATAATTCCCATGATAAGGGATATACGATGCAGTAACACTAACCAATACATTATTATCATGATGTCATATGTCTAACCGTTCGTTTTTTTATCATTCATAACTAGGAAAAGCCACGTTTTAAAAATTTTTAGCCTACTCCCCTTGACCTCGACTTGTCGCTATGAGCTTTATAGCAGCTTTTTTGGGACTGTTATAGGCGACAGTAGTGATCATTTGATTCTCTTCTTCAAGATAGCACTACACCCAACCCCTAACCCGGAGGACCAGGAGCTATAAGTGTAAGAACCAGGGTTTCCGTGCCCATTCAGGAATCGAACCCGCCCCGTAGTGGCATAAAAGCATTTATAGCTTTTCTTCGCTTTTTATAACTGGATTTTTTTAAGGAAACATTAATGGATTTTAGATTTTGAACTTCTCATTCCAGGGTGTGGATTTCAGAAGCGGAAAATTTAAGTTTTATTATTTCAATTATGGGTCGACATTGGAAAACCTTCTTATAAATATAATTCTTAAAAATTGTCATTTTATTTTATTTTTTATATAAAATAAAATCCTTATGAATTGAAATAGTGTTTTTGACTTATGCATTTATTCACAGAGTTTATAAAATGAGAATCTATAAATATGTCTACATTAAGGTAAATTTTTTTTTTTTTTTTAAAACTCTTACACTTAGAAAGTTGGTTTTTGATATCAACAATAAAACTAAGAAGATTTATTTTTTTACATAGAAGAGAATATTATAAGATTAGAATATTAAATTATATCATGTTCAAATAAAATAATTTATTAGTGAGAATATTTTAAAATAATTTAACCAATTATTTAAAAGTAAATATTTTCAACACTCATATATTATATTTCTAATTATATTAATCTTTCACACAGTCCAAACATATGTGATTAAACCTCTTTAGGTAACCTATTATATCTCGAAATTAATAAAACCCTAATCAATGTATTTTATTACTGACAAAGTTGTATTTTTTATCAAATTCTTGAAATAAGATATTGTTTAATTTTTATAAGTAACTACTAACTGCTGCTAAGAAAATATTAATCAGTTACGTTAGTTACAATGATAGAGACAACACAGACGTTTACTTTTATATATTTTATTTTTATATGAAATCAAAAACTTCCATGGAAGAAATGAAACTATATTTTAAAATTGTTGAATAATATAAGTAGAGTAACGGATGTGAAAATTTACTAGCTTGAAATGGAGAAACAACAAAACTGGACAAGTATTATAATACAATGGAAAACTGTATATTCAAGTACAATAGTTCGAGGATATTTGATTGGCAAAGATAACAAAAAATAAGGAATCAAATAATTTACAAATAAAAACATATCTGCAGTGAAACAAATATATTTTATGTTTTACTGGATTTTATGTTTTAGTCTTAAATTAGATTAGGAATATGTTTACTAATGAGGTATATGTTTATTAAATTCAAGCGAACTTAAATATCAAATATCGTACTAGCAATATTAATCAAAATCAAGATGGCACTGTAATGAATCAGAACCTTGACCACTATGTTAATGCTGGCTGGGTATATCATCTGCTACTGACAGCTCAGAGGTTGCTGGTGCCGTAATAATCTTCTCTAGGCCGAGCCCATCCCGTTCATCATTTATTAAAATCTCAGATCAGCTTCGGCTGTTCATTAAACTTGTCTTTCCTCATGTATTGATAAATTGTAATACATACTACTCTCCTTCATTTGAACATGGTTTAATAAGTAAAATTACTTAATTGGGATAGTTTTAAGAAATAAGGCTTTTACTTTCGTAAAAAAAAATAGCAGCTTTAGAAGGTAATCATTTTCGTTTTGTTACTGCCCGCAGTGATTGAAAGAAGGAAAAAAAAATGTTTCAAAGGCATTGGAAAAGTCATTGTCTCTTCGCTTTAATAAATACATTAGCTACCCATAGTTAACTTACTAATTTAATCGGATATATTTGGATTTTTACACTAAACCAGATTGTCAAATCCGATGCTGTAATAATGTTTGATTTTCAACAACATTTCCGATATTATTATTAGTTTTGCCAAACATTTTTTATTTTAGGCACGATTTTCATTTATAGTCATCAACGGCTGTACTTAGTGTTGCCCAAAATCGATCTTGGTCTTGTACTTTGCAAGACCAAGACCAAGGCGCCTAATTTTTGCAAGATCAAGACCAGGGCGGGTGAAAAAATCGATTTTTTGAATAAAAAATTAAGGCAAAATAGTTACTAATACTTGACAATCTTAGTTACTATATATAAATAATTGGTATAACCAATATAATTTTGCATTTAACCCCTCTAATTTTTAATTCAGGCTTAGTTAGGTTTCTCCTATCTGGAAAATTACAGTAACAAGCTAATAAGTAACTGCAAGACTGTTGCCCAAGAACAAGACCATGATCAAGACTGAGTTTGCAAGACCAAGTCTCGTTTCGGTCTCGAATTTGGGCAACACTAGCTGTACTACTCATTGCACTACGTAAAAAATTAGCTTTTTAATCATTGATAGTATCTCGAATAAATACCAAAATAAATCGAATAAAAAAAATGTCAGTCTATATCAATCCAGCCGATTGAAGTTACAAAATCTTTTTATTACCAAGACTTCTAATATATTACTAAATCAAATTTAACTTGCCAATTTCGGTTTTATCTTCTTTTTGACCAACATCTATATCATTTGCACCACTTATGTAAGCAATTAATAGAGATTATGAAAATCACTAGAATTCATTGCTATATTAATCCGACGATTGTGGCAAGAAATGTCACTGTTTAAAAGTTGTTGAAGATAATGAGAGTTATACTTAAATATACAAATGAATATGTTTTTACTTATTTTGGCTGTAAATCTGATGTAACTAATAGCCAATATTAGAAATAAAAATAAAAATTTCCTCATTTCTTTTTTTTTTTTAAAGGTTAGCGACTAATTGTACTTTAAAAAAAATATTTTGAGGGGGCAATTTGTTTATTTAATTTAATTAAAACCTAAAACCAATATTTATTGGAGATAACTATTTTTTTTAAATTGATTTTTCCTGATTTCATTTATTTTTTAAAATATAAATTTATCGCAAGGTAAACACATTTTTAAAATTGATTTTTTTTTAGAAAATTCCTTCACAATTTCCGTAATAAAACTATGATCATCTAAATGGACTTTACACATCAAAACTATTTTTTTTTTTTGCTCGGAAAACAAATTTTAATCTTTTAGCAAATAAATTAAATTATAAAATAAGTTTCCTAAATTTTAAGACAGTCCCTAGATAAAATATAACCCTGGCTAAATATGAGTCACGTTATAATATCAGAATAGATTATATGATTCACAATGATTTGAATAATTTAAAAAAAAACAGTGCAGGACCAAACTGATACATGACATCATATAATACCTAAGCACTTTTGACTGGACGGGATTGGATAGTATTAAAATTCAGATTCTTGAAAAGGTCAAGCTGATGTTTATGGAAAGAATCCCGCACATAAACAGTCATGGAACTAGCTAATTCATGAAAATATAGTTGGTAAATATTTCGTCATAATGTGTTTTATTAATTATCATTCATTTTTGTAAAAGTATTAAATATTCATTGCTTACCCGTAGCTAAAAGTTCCATCGTAGTTATTGTCCTGAGATTGCCTGAGGATGGCTACAGGTCTTGGAGCCAAGGAGGGCTGGCGGTAAGTTGCTGGAGGAACAGAAATGCCCAAGTTCCTTGTGGTTGCCAATGAGCTAGTGTAGGGTAATCCTGTTTGTATTGAATGTAGCGATAAGAATAACAAATGGAAAATATCAAAAATCTACTTTATTTAAAAAAATAAAATAAAGTGAGCAGCAGAGCTTTTTAACTGAAGTCTTATCCCTCACTTAGTTTTGTCCAGAAAACGGGTAAAATGCGATTTACAATTTTTCCCGTAGTTAAATGATAGATATTGATATATTTTAAAATTCTAATAATTAAGAAAAATGTGTTTATTCATGTACATTCTTTATATTAGCTTGGGAAGAATTTATTTACATAATTAAAAAGTAATTTAAATTAGTAATTTTTCTAGTTTTTTTCTAACAAAAAATAATTAATATTAGATAGATTTTAAATCAAATCTTTACCTTGTGGTTGAGAATATGAAAGGCCTAACTGGTTGTATGTTGGATATGGAGCAGCTCTTAATTGAGGAGCTGCGTAGCACATTGCAACCAAGAAGGAGGCGATGAAGACAGTCTAGAAAAAATTACCACCATTAGTTTTTTTATTTATTTAAGTAATGGTGACAGCCATTTAACAATAAATAGGAAGATTTTTACTATAGTATCAACTAAAAAAAATTTTTTTGAAAAATAATTTTCAAACCTGATAACTAGAAATTTTCAACTAAGCTTTTGTTACTTTATAAAAAAAATATTTTATTTTATCAGAAAGATATTGTGGTAAAATGATGTATTATTAATATTATTATCATTATACGTAAACCAGAGACTATGTTGAAGTGTGTACCCACCTTGGAAACCATGATGAAGTCAGTGAAGATCTGATGCCTCAAGCAGACCGGGCCTCTTATATATATACACATGTTGGAGGGACAATTTTTTTATAAGAACATCCCGGGCAAAGGTCATCGGGTTGTGTTCTTATTGGCCCGCCTAAAGGGTGGCCTTGCTCTGCCTACCAAAATGGTGGGGTGTTTGGTTAAAGTATTTGTCTGAAATATCCAAGAAATATTTAATAGGGTTAGCGCTTTAAGAACTAATATTGTAACCAGTTAAGTTTAAGTATATAACTAGCTATTGGCCATTCAGCTTGAATGAAGTTTCTAATAACATGCACTATTTCCAATAGTACTGTCGAAGTGGGTTTCTTTGTAACAGTTTTTAGACTTTTTGCGATACTCTGCTTTTTTCACCCACTTACAAAAGCCTCATATTCATATTTTCCAAGTATGAAAAGTATACTCCAACACATTTTATTCACTTTGAGTTTAAAATAGATCCGTTGTTTATCTTCACAATTAAACTCTTCAAAATTAATTTTCAATTTTCCACCACACAGATATCCAAAAATATTAGCACTACAGATAATTAAAAAAGAAATCACGTGGTTTAGGACTTACTTAATCTGATAGAATTGCATGCACTAAATTTCAACTTAAATTTCTTTAACTGTGATGATGTTAAACTATGGAGAGTTAATTTATCTTTAACTATGAATTGAAATTCGGAATATATATATATATGTATATATATATATATATATATATATATATATATATATATATATATATATATATATATATATATATATATATACACATATATATATATATATATATATATATATATATATATATACATATATATATATATATATATATATATATATATAACCAATATTCAATTAAAGTTCAGGATTCTAAAACTTTCACTTTTTATGCTCATTTAACTACATTAAATTATATTGATGAGAAAAGCTCATTGATGGTGATCAGAGGGGTAATTAAAATCAGGAGTTTTGTTTTAAACTTAAATTATAAACACTTCAAGCAAACAAATAATATTTGTAGCATGTGTGATAAAAAAGAAACAGATCACTTTACTGGCTGCTTGTCCGGTACTCTCTAAATTTAGAATTAAATGGTTAAAATCTAGAAATTTATCTCGGGATCAAGTAATAGATTTAATAAATGGAAAAAATAGCATTTAGCATTGGCAAATTACTGAAAATCTTCTTTCTCCTATAATATAATATATAATAAGAGAATATAACAATTAATAAATTAGAGAATGTTGGTACCACTCTACCGATACTGGAAATGTCGTATTTCCATATTACTGTAATCAAAATATTCTTTCAGTTCTATGTTAATGCTAAATACAAAAAACAACTGAGGGAACCTGCTGTTTTTACAATTATCTGGCAAATTCATTCAGAAAAGATATAGAAATATCGTTGAAAATAAAAATCAAGCACATAAATAAACTAATACCAAAGATCATCTAATTCTCTTCGTCATCGAAAACTGAGGAAAAAATACAAAAACAAAAGAAATGAAACAAAATATTCGAAGGCGCTGTTTTAAGAAAAATCGAAACAAATTTTGAAGCTGAAAGTAATATAATCGATATAGAGATATTGTTTCCAGCTTATTATCATGAATTTTATTTTATATTTATTTATTTACAGACCGATTTGATCAGCTTCTGTTATAGTTTCATCATGTCTCTCCGTGCCATTATGATAATTTATTTGGGGAGAAAAAGAAAGAAAGTATTACCTATATTAAATGATGTTCGAATGATTCATGATATCTTACAAAAAATTTAATTAAATAACACTTTTTATTTTTCTGATATTTTTTTTCAGAAGGCATTGCATTTAGCTGTATAAGCATTATAATTTAAGAAACAGTACATATGGCTATCGTTTAATAACTATTAATTAGCTTAGAGTACTCACAATAACAATCATGGACCAATGAAAAAAAAAAAAAATATTCTTGAGGGATATCAGCCCGGAACTTCCCCTGCTCCGTAGCTCCTCCAGTGATATGTACCTATATTAATAGTTGATTAATAGGTACAAAATCATATACAATATATTTTCATTTTATATAAATATACCATATTTATGGTATATATACCATATTAGAATATATAGCAAGTATTCTTGCTTGGTACGGTTTGCTAATCCACATTATGTTTAGATAAGACTCCACCAACTACTAAATCTAATCTCTGATCTAATATATTTTTAAAAAATTGCAACTAATACTAAAATAATAAAATGACTAGAACAAATAATAAAATATGGTTTTAAAGACATGAAAATAAATTTGAAAGGTATATATTGGTACTGTAAATAGTTTATGTAGTGAATTTTATATATTTTTTTTTACTATAATATAGAAACACAAAAGGATATAATATTTTTTTCGTTAAGATTTACTATCACTGGTCACGGTAAAAGATTTATGACAATGGATTGTTATCACTTCTTTGTTTGTCGAATATCTCGAAATCGATATCCTGACAATAAATAAAAAGTTGTTTTGTTTCGAAAGCTCGTGCATCTTCTATTTATTTTTTTCTTTTAGTTTTTAAAAGGAGGATGTAGATTTATTTTAGGTAGAAACATATTTTTAAAGTCGTTACTTTCTGATAAGTGGCAGGTCCGCATACTTCAATTAATCTTTTTTTCATTGAATATTCATCATATGTGCTAGCTACATTTTAACACATATGAAATGTAGCACCTAAAATGATGATACTGTGAGCCGTATATCCATTTAGGCTCCATGAGCTATGAAATGGATAATATAACTCTGTAAGTGTCGTTATTACGTGATGTCCTATGAAATCAATTATAGATTTTATAGAGATATATAATATACATAGAAGGGATACTTTATTCATGAGAATAGATTATCCCTTTGATATCTCTAATTTTATTATGTGTTAATCAGTTTAGAGGTATTTATCTATATACTAGATGGATTCATCTAATCAAAAAAATCAATAAAAATAACCAATTGTAAGTAAATAGAACTCACGAGGTTGGGGTGCAAAAAACCTGACGTGTTGTCATTTGATGCCAATATGATTTTTTAGGTTTCTCTTTCTTTTATTATGATCGTAAATATGTCATTGAAGTCCAACTGTCCTCTTATTTTAGATAGAAAAAAAAATGAAAGGGATTAATTTTTTTCATTAATTCTAAACTGAGAAAATTAATTAGGCTTTTATTTAAAATTGTTTGTTTATTGTTGAGAAAATAGTTGCAAATTATTACGACATTGTTTATTATTGCCACATAGTTTTCTATTAAATATGTTTGCGCATTCCCGAACGCGACTTATCACAGAGGGGTAAAATTAGTTCGCTAAGATTGTATAGTTTTAAAAATATTTATTTTTATTTATTAAGCTATTAGCCCAGTAACCTTGTACATCGTAAATTGCATAGAATGGGGATAGAAGGTTTCTTTTTATTTTCTTGTATGGTATATGACTGAGATGAAAACTCAAGTTTTCGCCTCCCCCCCGGATCACTTTTGAATATCCCCAAAACTATCATATTTTTGCATTTTTTTCGTTTCAACCATTTTATCCAGGAAGGAGCACGCTGTAGACAAAAAACATTTGAAAAACATATGAATTTTTAACTAGATTAAATATTCCACAATTTAACACCAAAAAAAGCTCAATAAATACAATAGTTTGAGATCCAGATTTTCAAATTTTAGAAAATTTTATTTTTCATTTAAATTATTTTTCATGTTTGATCATATGCTATTGTCTTTTATCTTCAATAACCTGTGTGATATGATTCAGCGAAGTAAATATTTATTCATTTTAATATTTTGAAGGGGGCGATGGAGGGAGGGAAAGGTTTGGTGGGAGAGGATAGTCCGTGGGCCATAGCCCCCTTCCGCGTACCCTCCCTCAACATCATTATAAATTTCATATCATTGTGTTCCTTGTAAATATATACTAAAAAAAAAAGGCAATGTTCTCACAAAAAAAGTGTCCACACTTTCCTATAAAGGCGTCCAAACAAGTTTTTCGGTCACTCTGATTCAGCAGTTGGCTTAATTTTATTATAATGTGTCTTATTTCAAACCCAGGTAGTCAGAGTATAATAAAGCATAAAAAATTTGTTGAAATAATTGTCCAGGGCAATTACAAATACCAGTAAACCCAATTTTTCCAATGGGCCAAATTAAAGTCGAAAATTAAGCGTCATTTGTACTTAAAAGGTCGACAATAACGTTAAACGCCGTAAAAAAAAACATTTAGAGAATACATTTATCTTGTAACAAAAAAAAAAATTTAAAAAATTGGTTCGGAATGTAATCGTTAGTTTTTTTATTACCTCGAGGGTTAGATAAAATTAATTAATTAGTATTAGTTTTAATTATAAGTATTAGATTATAATAAGTCTTAGTTTTAAGTATTGCTTTTATTTCGGATTGGAATAACCAACAGCTGATTGGGAGGAAAAATAAAAGAGAGTTGAGAGAGAGATGGCGGAACCTCGCGAGTGTTGAGACACGCTAAGGATTTTTGAGTGTGCAATACTTTAGTTTTACGGTGTACACCTGATTTTCTTTTCCTATCCACGAGCTTGTGATTATCAGCGACGAGTGCCGCTTGATTTTACAAGTTGGTGAATGAACATTTTCACAGTTTAAAGAGGTGGACTGGGGAGACACTGACGACGCTAGCTGGAATAAGTTCTCGCTTCCTCAGATAACTCAATGTACCAATTGGACTAAGTTCGGCATTGAGATTTTGTAAATATGTACATATAAGTTTTTTTCTATCTATTTTTATTTCCAAATGTTTGTAATTGGCATATTGTATAGTTGTAGGTTAATGTTTAGTTCTATAATAATTTTATATTCTTTTCTTTCGTAATTAAAGTTAATTGTATTTTCTTTGTATTCTTATGAATCTAATTTCTTGTTCATAATTTTCATTTCCTTTAACCGTTGTTTAAATCAATAGGAATAAGTAAATTCATCATTAGTATTTATAATAGCCAGTTTTATTTTCTTCAGTTTGTTTTTACGTTTTAT